GCTTATAAATTGTACAGAGTACTTTTCATATGAATATCTGTCTTTTAGTTTTCTAATGTGTATAACTTGTTTATCTGCAGCTGTTGTACTTTGAGAGAGAAGAAAATGGTGGGTTGAGCCTTGCACTGCAGGTATGTATGGTCTGCCAATGTGACCTTGTCTTTTTGTGTAGACACACCAACAACACTAGTGTCATTTTAGACTTCCTCACACACACACACACACACACACACACACACACATATATATAATGTGAAAGATACTGAAATCAACTATCATTATTTTGTAATTTTCTTCTATACCATAATGCTGTTCACTGAGATTGATTGCAAAATGTTTGCCCAATTCCAGGAGCGGCTCATAAGTTTCTATTTTAAGACAGATTGAGATCTTGTATGTTTTAATATTTTTGATATTTCCTGAGACGCTTGCTTGAGGCATTTCAATGACATCATGTCACCTTAATTGTAGGAGGATAGCACAAAAACTGGAAAAGTGACTTCTGCTGGGATGTATTTTTTTGGATTCACTGTTTATCATATGGATCCAGCTCATACCTCGGTAAGAGCACTCACAATGGGGAGAAAAAAAAATTTCCTCATCAATTTCTTACTACCTTTACCCTCTCATAGTCTCATCCACATCATCTTACATCATTTTTTAGGTGTTTAAACTTTTTTTCATACACTCCATCAATGAGGAAATTTGTTTCCCTATCCTCTCTCACATTTGCAGCCCATATATTTCCTCTTACTGCGTGCTAAAAAAAAGTTATGCGTGCAAAAGTGAGGAAAATCATGAAAGTTCATTGGTGGAGTGCTAAAATTTTACACGCGTGAAAAATAAATCCACTGCCGGGAGTGGTCTAAGTGAATCTGGTGTGATACCAAATGGTTCATTTAATAGCTGTCTTACATTCATTGCCTTGTTGACTTGGTGCAGTTGACAACTGCTAAGGATCAAGACTCTGCATTGTTTAAAAAACTGGATGGGTTTCAGCCATGTGAGATAACAGAGTTAAAACCCGGAACACATATTTTTGCCGTATACGGTATCCTCTTTTTGCTTGTCATTCAGTCCACTGATCTTATGTTCTTGAAAATGCCTCTTAACTCCTTTTCTCAATTACCTGCACAGGTGACAACTTTTTCAAAAGCATAAGCTACACAATTGAAGCCGTTTGTGCTGAAAATTTTGCTGAGGATAAAGAGAATCTAAGATCAGTTGAAAGTCAAATTTTATCAAAGAGGGTGGAGTTGTCCAAGTTTGAAACAGAATACCGGGAGGTATGCTCTCTAAGTAGTATGCATTTGCTAAGAGCATGTCATGTGTCATGTTTCTTGCTTTCAGTTTTTTTAAACCTAAAACAAAATCTGAAAACCAGAACAAGTACTATCTCCTATACAGTTTTCAGTACTATCTCCTATTATGTTAATTAACCTAAAATTAACATGACTACCAAGTTTATTTGAAAAAATTCACACCAATACTCCCAGAATTGCACAAGTTTACATAAATACTCCGAGACTCATTAAATTACACTAATGCTCCCAAATATTTCCTATATTCATATCGTTGCTCCGAGAATTGATATATGTTTACTTCCGTGCTCCAAATGTTGGGGCACTGATGTAAACACATCAATTCTCCGAGGATCGATGTGAATATAGAAAAATTTTGGGAGCATTGATGTCATTTATTAAATCTCGGAGTATTTCTGTAAATTCTTGCAATTCCGGGAGTATTGATGTGAATTTTTCCAATTTATTTTACCACTAATATCATCTATGACATAACCTTTAAACCCATGAAACAAAAAAGTAGGTATACTGAGTTGCATTGATGTTTCACATTATGTTCGCAGGTTCTTGCACAATTTACAGAGATGACAAGTAGGTACGCGCAAGAAATGCAAGCAGTGAGTTGTCTCCAGCGAAATTTTACAACTAGTTCCTACATTGGAATTTGGGATTAAAATTAATTTCTCATTACCATCTTATATAACATAAATGTCGTCTTACCACGTTTCCCGTTCATCATCAACAGATTGACGAGCTTCTTAAGCAGAGGAATGAAATACATGCCTCGTATACAACTGCTGCTTCCCCAATGAAGAACACTGGCAGTGGTCGCACCAAAAGCAACAGCGCTTCTAAAGAGGCCAATGAGGACGACAGCCCAGTACGACCAAAGAAATCTTCAAGAGAACAAGTGAAGAAGAAGAAATGGTTCAACATTCACTTAAAGGTGGACAAAAGAAAGCCTTGCTAAGCGCGCGGTCAGAACTTCTGCCCACATTCAACCAAGTCAGTATTTGTGCTTCACTTTCCTCTCTTTTTTTCGGGTAACGGGTCAAGTCCGAGCAACGAGCCGGTTGCGGGTCCACACAAATTCGGACTGCGACCTCAATCATATACCAGCATCTCCATGTAATGATGGTCCAACATGCAAAGCATTGTGACAGGTAGCTGTAGAATTCTTTCCCTTTGTTTTTCCGCTATTGTGTATGCTCTGGATTCTACCATCAATTCGCTCTTTTTTTCAACTTTGCTTTCGATGCTTTCACCCAGACGAATGTAAAGCAAATTGAATCTGTATTTTGGGAACTTTCTTGAAGAACTATTAGCAGTGCAGGTTGTCCATTTGGGGAAGTTATTGGATTCAAATGATGTATCTATCTATATATGTAATCTTCATCTTGGTCACGTTTATAACAAACAAAATTTGTGGTCGTGCCCCAAAAACTGCTTGTCATTCGTTTTTAAGCACCCAAAAATAATCTACTTAAAACATGAAGAAAAGTATAATGTAATAATGCATATACACCAGGTATTCTCTGTCTCATACGGAGTATATTTCTTCTGATTTTGACTTTTGTAGTTAACATTTTAAACTTTGACTTCAAATTATGAAAAATATTAATTGAATTGTAATATAAATGTAATATTAATTACTTTATTTTGAAATGTAATTTTGAAATACTATACTTTTTAATATAATATTGAAAATAACTTTAATCAAACTCGTAAGTCAAAATAGAAAGAATGCAAAAGTAAAGAGTAGACCACATATTCAATGGAGTATAATTCATGTAAAAGTTGGAAGTTCTAGCTTTAAAACATCTGAATCACAAGTTACACACTTGCATTGTTATTATATACAGAGTAAAACTTGAATTAAATTGGCTTGTGAAAAAACGATCTAAAAAGAGGGTTCAACAAACTAAATACATATGTTCTCTAAGTGAGAAAGTGTCAAGAACCCAACAAACATGTAAGTGATTCCAAATACTTCCAATGTAAATATCAATTCCAAAATATTGCACTTTTCGTATAATATTTTCATTATCATTATAACATCACATTTTTTATGCAAATATATAAACTACTCGTATTGATTTTTTATGTTAATATAACTATATATTAACATATAGTTTGGTTTAATTTTTTACATTTGATTTTGGTTATTTCGATTAGAATTTTCTTCGAGTTCGTCTCGATCGATTTTGATTCAATTCGCACTTTTTGGTTTCCCAATCCAACCCTAAACAAAAAGGATGAAATCTTTCAAACAAACAACGTTAGAGCATTTCTTAACGGAACGTTTATTTCTTGAAAAAGTTTTAAAAGTACTCCATCCTTCTCAAATTAATACTCACAATTTGATTTTATATGGAATTTAAGAAAAATAAAATTATGTGGTTGAAAATGATGTAGAAAAGAAAAAAAAAGGTGAGCCACAAATTTTTTCTTAAAAAGGAAAATAGAGGATTAATTTGGAACAATCCAAAAAAGGAATAAGGATGATTTGTTTGGACTATACTGTAGACAAAACCCTACTCCAGTGGGTCTTTTTGAGTTTAGAGTATCAGCTAATTTGAACTTTTGAGAGCGATTAACTTATGAATAAAGTGATTTTCACAAAATTTGAAAGCAAAAGAACCTTATAACTGCTTTTCCAAAACGCTATTCTATGTACAAAATACTAGTGGAGAACATCAAAAGCTGACATGCCAAACAGAGTAAAATCGGTTACACTAAAAGCAGAAGCTAAATTCTTAAAAGGAGTGTACTTCCAAACACTCTCTACATCATCTATGTATACATGACAACTATTCATCAACAATAGTACTCCGTATAAAATTACTTCCTCCGTCTTTAAAAAGATCTTATTTTTTAGGGTGTCTCAAAAAAGATTCATCTTTCTTTTTATGGAAGACTTTGAGTGGTTCGCAATCTTTCTCTTTATTTTGCATCACTTTCCACGACACATTTTTACTTTTCTTTAACTATATGCCAAATTAAATTAGGAATTTTTTTGGATGGAGAGATTACTATATATTGAGGGGAATGTAGAGCTATAATTCGTGTTGTCCAAAAAAAAAGAGAAGTATAATAAAATACGGAGTATGAAGTATATTTAAGTTATGGATTTTTTTGGGGATATGCTAGGGGTATACCAAAGGTGTACCCCAAATGTACACCACTTGCCTCTACACCATTCATTTTATTTTCTTTTTATTTTTTACTTTTTTGAAATTTTTTTGCCTTTTTTGTGTGGTGATGGAGGTGTGGGAGATGTTTGGGGTACACTTTTGGTGTACCCCTAGCATTTTCCTTTTTTTGGATTTTGAAAATCTATAGGTATTCAATTCAGATTTTAAAAATTCATTTAAAATTTGAATGTATTCAATTGAGATTTCAGAAAGCCCTTCTAAATATGATAGTATTCAAAAAGTTGATAGATTTTTAAAGATTTTTAAAAATGTAGATTTTGATGGATTTTTAAGGATTGGGTATAAATATAAGTCAATTCCCAAATCTAGCCCAAAAACAAACAAAAGATTTTATAAACTCCTTCCGTCTACTTCTTTTCTTCTTCGTCCGTTTCTTCTTCTTCGGCCTTCTTCTTCATCGGATGTTCTTCTTCTTCCGCCGTCTTCTTCATCTCTCCTTCATCCTCGCCTCTGGTCGTCTTCCTCTCCTCTGGTCGGGCTGCTTTGCCAAGGCCGTGGCCAATCTGATCAACACCACCACCGTCCACAACGCCGACACCCTCCTCCGCCTCGTCACCTCTCGCCCTCCGGGGATCCCTCTCATCACCGTCAGCAATCACATGTCCACGTTAGTCAGCTAGTCTTCAATTTGCCTCTATTAGTATGTTCTTCGTTCATGTTCGCATATCATATTTATCAACATGTCTTCCCCAATGTTTCACATTTTTTTAAAGATTTTAGGGTTCTAGGGTCTCTTTGGGCTCCTATTTTCCAGCGATAGAGCATTTGTGATTTCTCCTTTGGCATTTTTTTTCAACTTGGATGATCCTGTGATGTGGGGATTCAAAGGGTTTCCGACTTGTGATGCAAAATTGGCAAGATGGGTATTGGCTGCTGAGGATATCTGCTTTAAAAAAACTGTGTTTTCATAATTTTTCCGCCTGGGTGTGTAACTTTTTGTTGCCATATCCATTTACCTTCTGTTATCCTTACATTTTTACCAAAGTTGAAAATGCAGTTGTTCACCATTCATCAAGCTAGATGGATATCTTCATTAGAGTTATAGTAGTAATAGAGACTAATAGGTTAATAAGCTGGAGAAATGTTGAGAAAACAATGGCAGATTTCATTCCTAACTATCTCGCGCACTTCATCATATTTATGTATAAATAATCTATATATTACAGAGGATAAACAATCAGACATAATCTTATAAAATCTTGATGATAAAACATATTAAAATCTATCAAAATCTGCATGGACTTGAAACAATCCATAGATTTTGCATAATCTAAAGACTTCAAACAATCTATCGAAATCTTTCACAATCCTGATTGAATGCACCCCCTTAAACTTTACTAATATTATAAGTAAATGTACTTTTACTATAATGTAGCAATCTACGAAGAGAGGATGTAAAATGGCTTATATGGTTGGAGGCTTGGAGCACATATTAAAAAATACGGAGTACGCTATAAGTTCAATATGTCTGCCAATTTTAAGCTTCTCCGTTGAGCTGCTCTTACCACTATAGAAAAAGCAGAAAGAAGAGGGCCTTAGTGTTTTTTCAAGCAAAACGCTCATCAAATTGGACCCAACAAAATGCCGCCAAAGAAGAGTAAATCTCCGCCCTCCGATCCCCAGGGAATGTTCAGCAGAATGGTGGTCTTCTTGGTCGAAGATGGAGTTCAAACTCGCCGGTTGCAGGTCCTTTCTGCTCCTATTTGTTAAAAAGCCAAATGAAATTCCCCAGTATTTGTGTTCCTTTTTTTAATAAAAGTTTTTCCACTATTTACTTCTGGAATTTGGGGTTTTCAATAGATTTGGAAGCAGAGATTGACGCAAATGGGGGCCAGCATTGAGGAAAAATTATCCAAAAATGTCACTCATGTTTTTACCGTGGATGCAAATTCCCTTCTAAAGAAACTTGATTGCAAACGGTTGGTTAGGTCCAAAGCTGTAAGCGTTGATCCACTCATCTTTACTTACTGCTCATTTGTAATCATGAACAGATGTGGGTAATTTATTTCTTGTTTCTTCCATGATTTTGTGTGGGAATTTGCTTGTGGGTGGTTGAGCTTGATGGGGTTCTTTATTTTTGCAAAAGATGTCATCCTTTTTTGTTTTTAGAACATTTTCACTCTTGAGAATTGAAGCATATAATTACCAGAAAATCTGTTTTATCAATTTACCGCCATTTGATGTTACGATTTTTAGGCTAGTCTGGTTCGAATCTTAAAAAAGAATTTAGGTGGTGTTATCACATTGTCAAAGTGGATTTTTGGTACTATATGGATCATTGCTGTAAAAATCTTTCCCGAGTGCTGATTATTTCCCTCATAAGAACTAGGATCTTCTTGGCTGCCTATTAGTTTTTCCTGCTTAGGCCTGTCTGGTTTCACTTAGATCCCACCTAACCCCTTGTAATCCCCGATTAGGCTCTAGGTTCCACCTGGCACTTTTACAACAATGATTTGGATAATAATCATTCTGGTTTGTTAATTAAATTGGTGAATGAAAATGTAGTGTAGCAATATGGTTTCTGAAGTTCTGTGAATCCGATATGTTCCATTTTGAAGCTATCATTTGGATGAACTGTCTGAATTTTTGCTCTTTTGGTCATTATTGCTATTCAGAAAGTCCTCTTATATCAATGGGTGGAGGACAGCTTGACTAAAGGTGAAATGGTGTCTGAAGATTTGTACACTATATCTCTAGAGTCAGGGGAGAATAGAGAGACTGTCAAGGAAGATATCGCAAGTGGTTGTACTGATAGTGAGCTTACTCCAAAAAAGAGCAGGATTACTCCTTTTGGTACTGATATTGTGAGTTCAGAAGATAAGTTTCACACAGAAGACCATTTTGGGCATCAGTTAGTAGAATCCTCATATATCTCTCGATGCTCATCAAGCCCTGAAATAATCAGTGGCGAGGCGCTTTATCCTTGTGGCAATGCTGTAAGCACAGGCAATCCCGTTTCCCAAGTCCCAAGTTATTCTACAGCTTTTTTGGGATTCTTTTCCTTCATATTTCCTCTAGATTCCTTCTGAAAGTCACATATCTTGTTTGATTCTATGCTTCTATTTCATTCTTTCATGTATGTGGTTTCAGGGTATTTTGATGTGTGACTTGTGTCATCATTATACAGGCTGAAATATCGAAATCACCATTGCTTTATAAGCCTCCTAATTTGAACAGGAACATTACCGAGATATTTGGAAAACTTTTTGACATTTATACGGGTAAAACTTCTGTGCTCTTTCCATTACTGTGTATACTTGGAAATAATGGCATAAGCTTGTTAAAAGTCTATGTGAAGTCATCAATCCTCAATGACAGCACGTGGTGATGATCGACGCTCATATAGCTATCACAAAGCCATAGCAGTAATTGAGAAATTGCCTTTCAAAATCGAAAATATGGACCAGGTTCAAAACCTTCCTAGTATAGGAAAGTCATTGCAGGAACATGTAAGTAAACAGTGTTATTACATGTAGCTCTCTTTGCTGGTTGTATTCTATATGTTGATGGCATCTCCATTTTCTTGTGTTAACATAAGTGAAAGGGTACAAGATGAAAGGCAACCATTTTCTTAATTTCAGATTCAGGAAATAGTGAACACCGGAAAACTATCTAAGTTGGAGCACTTTGAGCAGGATGAAAAGGTACATTTGATATTTTTCTTCTTCTTTGGCTAATATTCATTTATATTTTCCCTTTCCAAAGGCTCAACGATGATTGAAGTAAGTGACCTATGTTAAAGATGCATTTAACATACTTACTTACGATGATTGAAAATATATGGTTGCGAATTTTCTGTGTTTGTTTTACAATCAGTTTTATATTTTCATTCAGAAAGCTAATGATGTTTCACTCATTCAAGTAAGTGATCTATGTTAAAGATGCATTTCTCAAGGCATAAAATTTTTGGATAATTTAATGCAATAATTTGTACTGAAACTTCCCACCAATATGTCCTTTTATTATGTCATTTTTTGAGATACTCTATAGTCTTCGTACGATCAATACTTGAGTGATGAAAGCTTAAATTATGAATATTCCTTGACGTATTCAACCTATAGTAGTAAACTTAAGACTGAAGTAGTTCAAGTCCTAATGCTCATTATGGAAGGTGACATTTTTTAGAATTCATCAGGTACGGACGATCAGTTTGTTTGGAGAAGTATGGGGTGTTGGTCCTGCAACTGCCTTAAAACTTTACGAGAAAGGGCATCGGACTCTGGATGACCTCAAAAGTGAAGAATCACTTACAAATGGGCAAAGATTAGGCTTGAAGTATTTCCATGACATCAAAACAAGAATTCCACGTCACGAGGTCAGCTTCCTTTGTTTTTTCCCATTATGACAAACTATAACTTTTTGTTTCTCCAGCTAATAAATCATGTAGGTTGAAGCGATGGACCAACTTCTGCAGAAGGTTGGACAAGAGATTTTACCCGGAGTAAGAATTGCATCAGATTGATTGTATTAAATACTGATCGTACGGTCCAAACGGTCCATTGCCATTTCTTGGAATAAATTCTGATTGTACGGTCCAAACAGTCCTCATAGGGTAGGTTTTTTTATTAAGCCAATAAAATCCTCATTGCAAGGTTCTTGGTGAACTGGGCGGCATCTGTTAAAGTTTCTTGGTGATGGTGATACAACTCAAACTAAGTTACAAGTTTTGTTAGTAACCTAATGAAAACTAACATCCATATCAGCAAGGGCTGTTTGACGACATTGATTGCGGCAAGCTTGAGAGAACCGAGAAATAGTGGAGCGCAAAATCCTAGTTTAGGAGCTTTTAAATAGTGAAGTAGGAGTTTCTGAACCATTCTAAAAATTAGTGTCAACTATTTTCTTGATTTTACTTTTTATTGCCTTATTTTACACTATTTTTATATCATTTAAGCTCTTAAAAATCATGCAAGATTTTATTTGATACTTGTATGCTCAGGAATTTTTTTTATTGCACCTAATTCACCCTCCTGTTAGGGTGCACACCCTCTTTTAGTCATCCCTTTGAATGTGACATTTTCTTTGTTTCCTCATTTCTTATGCCTGAAGCCAAGCTGCCACTGCTGTGCATATCCATATTCTTTATTTATGTTGCTCACTGATTACTACTAATACAATATTACAGGTTATTATTGTGTGTGGAGGGTCCTATAGGCGTGGAAAGGAATCTTGTGGGGATATGGATTTTGTTATCACACACCCCGATGGAGAAAGGTGATCATTTCAGTCTTAAGGATCATATATATATATATATATATATGTATGTATGTATGCATATGTATATATATGTGTGTGTATATATATATCTGTGTGTGTGTTATATAAAATATATATATTATTCATTGAGCTACTCTCTTAAAGTAGAAATGTACAAACTCCAATGCTTAATTCCCAGCAAAATATTTAGTTTGTTTTTTATTTTATGTACTCCTGAAAAATGACACACACACACATATATACTGTTCCTCTTTCAGTCATATAGGTTTTCTTCCTCGATATCTAAAGCATCTCAAAGAAATGAGATTTTTGAGGGAAGATTTGACCTTGAGTGTTCACAGTGAGGTAATTATCTATTACTCCATGGTATATGTGTTCTTATTCATCATTTTGTATGCATTTATGATTATGGGTGCCTTTATTTTGCATTTTCAAAAAGAGGTGATTTTGATTTTAGAATTAGGTGCTCTAAAAATCACGAGTATATGTGCTAATCACGAGGCAAGGCGGTTACCCAAATCTTTGGTAGAATCATAGTCTGTGTGGGGGAGGGGAGAGGGGAATGGGCTTCCAAAATCTCATACTAGAAACCGGAATCACCTATTTTATTCTGGCCACAATGCAGACCAAATGGAGAGAAAGGGTGATTGTGATTCTGAAATCAACAAAATCACCCCAAAATGCAATTCAAATACACCCTTTAAGATTTATACTTAGGAGGACCTTAGCAGCCCCTCTTTGTCTTTTTTTTTAATTAGTAAATATTTATACGCCATGTTTATGGGTATCCAAACAGATATCTTCAATGTACATTTCTGACAATTTTTTTCAGAATTTTTTTGTTTTAATTTTCATGTAACTAAGACATATGGGCACAGGATACCAAATCAGGAGTAGACACCTATTTTGGTCTTTGCACCTGTCCCGGTGGAGAGCTGCGACGCCGCATTGACTTGAAGGTATTCCCAGTTTTGGGCTATCATGTAACAATGTGATCTGCAAAATTTCACATCTAATCAGCTCAACTCTACTTGTGTGGACTAGTTCTTTGCCACCATTTCATTTGATGCATGAAATTGAGCTATGGACTTAACCTATCTTCAACAAAAACGAATTAACAGATTCACCCCCCCTCTCCCCATTTTTTTAGGAAAGATTTTCAAAAATATTGGGCTTGTGCAATAGATTCTGAATGGGCTTATGCACAAGCATAAAAAACACTTCCTCCATCCCAAAATGAAGTGGTTCTTTTTTTATGGAATTTAAGAAAAAGTAAAATTATGTGGTTGGAATTCACATTGAGCCTCTTAATTCATTCTTTATAGAAAAGAATGTGAACTTTATTTGTGACAAACGGTAAACGAAAACTAAATTTTGGGATGGAGTAATAAACTGTACTTGGTGTTCATTGGCTAAGGATTAATCTGCAGATGCAATTTATGTAGTTCTTGACAGTCCAACTTTCACCCTTGGTGTAGCCCTTTTATTTTATTTCTCAGTTTCATTTTTTATTATTTATATTGTCCTTCCATACAGATCTTAGTTTAGTAAAATTATTTAGAGATATGTTTGGCAAGTCTCTTTTCCTTTAAGATTACAATTCTAATGAGGCATTGCTATTGGCTGAGAACTTCGGATTGAAAAAAAAGTATTTTCGGAAGTTTTCTTTCATTCAATTGGATAACCATTCACCTTTTGAGGAAGTTGATAAACCAATTTTTTTCCCTCAGTGTTGCGCTTAACAATATGTAGCGGTTATGTTTTACGCGTTCAACTAATACACGCACATTTGTCTTTAGGTGTATCCGAGAAATATATATGCATTCGGTCTCTTACATTGGACAGGAAATGATGTCCTAAACAGGAGGTATGTGTATGTCCATTTCACATATAGAACACTTTGTTTCTACTAAAAGAGGTATTTTCCAAAAACGTCCTTTATAATGTAGGGGTAAAGTATGATATTCGTGATCCTCTATCTTCGCGTACTGTAACACGAAAAATCCTTTTTGTAAAGGAAACGTCTGGAAACCCCCATGTTATAAGGACATTTTTGGGAAATCACTCTTTAAAACTCGTGTTAGAACATCCTCATACGTTTAGCTAAGCTTTTTTTTCCTGTCAATCTTATGCAGGCTTAGATTATTAGCGCAGTCAAAGGGGTTTCGATTGGATGATACCGGACTATTTCCTTCCGCTCAATCTTCTGACGGGAAACATGTATGCTCGCGTGCTCGCTTCAAACCTCTTTGTTCTTAAGATTTTCATATTTTTTTTAAAAAAAAATAAAGGAAAGAAAATTATATTTTTTCTTTTTGTTTTGAATGAATGTTGTCATGAATCATTGAATATGTTGGTGCAGGGTCTAAGAGGTGCTAATTTGAAGTTTGCCACAGAGAGAGAAATCTTTGATTTTCTTGGGTTTCCTTGGCTTGAGCCACATGAAAGGAATCTCTAAATTTTGTATAGCCTGCCCAGAAGAAAATTCAAAACTATAGTAATTTTCTTCTTCTTAAACCGTATTCTTCCGGCCCACTATTTTTGTCTCATTTTATTTATTTTTGTCTGTCCCATCATATTTATGTGCTCAACAAAATTATTTTTCTTTAATTTCGGTCACTCCCTTGTGGTCAACAATTTTTTTTAAGAAAAGATTGTAGCCAAAAACTAAAAACCGAGCACTTTTTTGGGATGGCGTCGGCAAGCACTTTCATCTGAAACTGGGGAGTAGACTTGACAAAAAATAATCGATTTATTTTTGACCCGAAAACTGACATGAAAGTACTGAGTTTTTATAAACAAAGGTTTTATAGACCAAACTCGAAGTTGTCCGAACCTGAAACGATTCGCTAAAATTGGGTCAAATTCGACCGAACCCGAATTCGACATCTGTTAATGTAAGAGTTTTTCAAAATCATTTACTTTACTATGAAATAAAATGTTATAAAAATAAGGTTATAATTATATTTTTTTTCTTACTACTCGTCTTTGGTATATAAATTTATATTTTTGGACAAAATTTTAATGGTATTGCATATTTATCTTACATGTTCCAAAAATTATGCATTTTTATTCTTTACATTGATTTAAATACCTAAAAATTACTTCATAATTTAAATTAAAATAATATAATAGATTTAATACGGAGTACATATTTTTGATACCTTAATTTTATTTAATGTGAAATGCAGGTGTTAATATTAATTTAAAAATTTTAAAAATCAAAGTCATAACTCATTGGGTCGACCTAAAAGCAATGGCCTTGGGTCATGAATGTAAAATTCTCAACTCAAATCCAAAGTGATCGAAACCGAACTCGACTGATTCATTTGGTAGATCTACGGGGGAGAGTGAACAACCCTTTGGTAGGCATGTTGACTAGTAAGTGGGGTGTCTCGAAGAAAAAAGTACCCTTTCACGGGAAGTCAAGAGTTGAACTGGATATCATCAAGAAACGGTACCCTTTCTACCGTAATAGCCCAACGAGAATGACCCTTTCGCGGAAAGTCAAGAGTCGGACGCCCACTCTCTCTCTCTCTCACCGATTGGAGTAGGGCATAAGTGGACGGAGGCTCTCGCTATCATAAACGCCGGCGCTCCGACGAAGTACATCGGGAGAAGAGGTATGTTTCCAAGACCCCAAGTGTATTAGGGTTTCTTTTTTAACGCATCCCATCAAAGTCGAATCAAAATTCTGTTTTTTTTTTTAATTCTTCAATTACAGTTAAGGACATTTTACAAAGATAGTGGATTTTTCTTATTTTTTTTCCATCTTTTTTTAGATACTGGGTTTTCACCTTTCCTATTATTCGATGATAGATGGAGTGAGCTGATTACATGTTCTGCTTTGCTAATAATTATTTTTAAGTCAGTTTTTCTGTTTTCCATTTTGATCCAGATTATTTATTTACAAAACTATTCCTCACTATTTATGAATTTTTCTAAGTGAGTTATCAATCGTTTAAGTCATTAAAGAATAAGCCAATAAGCAAGACGCAATTTTTTTGTATACTTGTTCTTATTGGAGACAGAGAGAGGTTGAATGGAAAAACTTTTTTATCTCCTTTCACCCTTTTAATTTGTGTGTGATTTGTTCAAAAACTTTGTTTTTCAATTTGATCCGAATTGTTCTTCTGTGAAGCATTTGTTGTTTATTTCCCAAAATATTTTCATAGGTCATTTGCCATTCATGTGTGATAGAAGAATGACTTTTGTTATTTTTTGAAGAGTTTGAAGACTTCTACAAAGCTTATAGTTTATGTTATGGATCTTAGGGGCTTGAGAGTTATTATACAAAAATTTAGGGTGCACCGGAGTAATTTTCTGTACACTTCCATTTCCTACCACCAAACTCCATTCACAGGTCCAAACAAACTTGCATCACTACTGCATCCCTCTTTGATTTCCTGCCATGGAGATGACCATTGTGGAGGCGGATGCATCTCCGCCGGATTCCTACGCCGCCCTTGTTCTTGGTGGCACCTTCGATCGCTTACACGAGGGCCATTGCCTCTTCCTCCAGGTTCTTCCACCCCCCTGCGCTGCGCTTCCATCAATTTTCCACTTCCTTTCTTCTTATTCTTCTTCTCTTCTTCTTCCTGTTACTGGAATGAACATTTATATTTGCAGGCAGCCGCTAAATTGGCCAGGGAGCGAGTTGTTGTTGGCGTTTGTGACGGTCCAATGCTGGCTAGGAAACAGGCACTATCATTATTTTCACTCTCTATCCCTTCTTCCCCTTTATTATCTTAAACCCTAATTGAAAAGCTTCTTTTATAAAATAATGGGGGNAAAGTAGGTTTTGAAAAGTACTCTAAGACGGTGTCTGTGGTGGAATTAAACTGGAATCAGTTTTCATTGTTCGGAAAATGTCTCCAGAGTTGAATTTCATAATATCTGTTTTCGAACTTAAAAATTCTCAATAGAGAACGCCCGCAATGTGTAATTCTAACTTTTAAGCTGGATATGCCGAAGTGCCAAACTGAGTCAAAGATTGTTGTTGCGTCATTTTCAGTGTTTCCTGGATTCTATAAGGCATTTTACTCACTCTATCCTATTAAGTTTTGAATAAAGGAATGCCTCACACAAAGTGAAAAAAATTGTGTTGTTTATATTGAATTTCTAAAGAATGATTTTGAGCCACAGATATAGCTAGATTGATTTAGGGCATGTTTGGAAATAACGTCAGAGGTTAGCGTTAGCGTTTTGAAAAGGCTATCTACGGGTAGCGTTTAGCGTTTTCAAAGTTAATCTGCACCGTTAAAATTTTATCCAAAACGCTGACTCTAATTGAAAACGTTATTCTCAAATGGGCCATTAACCAGATATGGAATGAGAAACATTTAATGACATGCCGAAAATAGAAAAATAAGACAAACTTGTCAGGTTGTGGAGCCTGATGTAATATTTGATGTCCTAATTTTTAGGTTGTACTTTTACTATTCTCCATATAGCTATTTTATAGCATGTATTCTTTGTAACTGTTTGGAATCATCAATATATAGCCCTATACTGCTGTTGAGTTTTCCCACCGGGCATTACCACAAAAATCTTGTAAGCGCTTATGCATTTTCTTCTTCATTGTTCATCATTCAATTTCGTTTTCTTCATCTTGATCTTAATTAGTATGTGTGTGAACTGTATGTGAGATCCTAACAAAACGTACCATGGCGGAGGAATAGATTATATCCGACATGAGATGTTAATTATGCTCACCTCGCAATAGCACTGACACGGTGCCTTCCTCTTTTCCTTTTTCTTCTTTTTCAGTATGCTGATCTAATACAGCCTACAGAGCAAAGAATGGCAAATGTGAAGAATTACATCCAGTCTATCAAGCCACATCTCGATGTACAAGTCGAACCAATTGTGGATCCTTATGGCCCTTCAATAGTTGATGAGAATTTAGAGGCCATTCTTGTCAGGTTCCTTTTTTCCCCCCTCTAATTTCTCCTCCATTATCTCTCTACGCCGTTTTCAAGATATTTTCATTATTTGCACCGTCATTTCGCCATCTTTTGTGATCTTTACCTAAGAAAAAATTATTGTCATGCGTGATATTGTTAGCTTTCTCGATATAAACTTTCATAATATCATTTTTTTTATATTTATCAAACATAAGTGAAGGTATTAATGATTTAGTTTGTGCATTGGCAAACATGAAGAGATTAATTTCGTACATTTATTTTTCTTAGTATTTTTTATTTTTTTTATAAGAGAATAAACGAAAGGAGTTTGAACCAATATTTGAAATAAATTCAATGTGTTTTATTTTATACTTCGTATTTTATTTTACCCTTAAATTTTAAATCATCCCCATTTTTCCACTCAAAGTTTATGTTGTCTATGTAAATTAGCAAGGAGACGCTACCCGGTGGAATTTTTGTTAACAAAAAGCGAGCCGAAAAAGGTCTCTCCCAACTAAAGGTTTGTTTCAGGATCATTCATGTTTTTGTCTGTTCATTAACGATAAACTATTTGTAGACAGAGTGGTCTCGTTCATTAGTATCTTTCGGTCTGCAGATTGAGGTTGTAGAACTGCTCTCCGAAGGATCGAGCAGAAATAAACTGAGTTCTTCAGCTTTGAGAAAGCTTGAAGCTCAAAAACATTGTTAAAGGTGGAGTTTCTGTGCTCTTTGTTACTTCTTCCAAGCTTACATTTAATCTTACTGGCGGAGATGAATCGAGTTCGCCGCCCCCATTGAAGGTTTCATAAGATTTTTGTATATTTCTATTTTCTCTAACTTTCCTCTAGCGATAACCTCCCCTTCACCCTCCTTCATGTCTATGGGTGTAAACGGATAATATCTGTGACGGATATGGCATATCCGGATCCGTATCCGTTTAAGTGTAGGAATATCCGAATCTGTATCCGTATTCGGCGGATATTTACTATACTATATCCAAATCCGTATCCGGCGGATAATTATCAGATTCAGATATATCCGGATCTGATTAAATATCCGAAAGTAACCAGATATCCGAATCCGAACAAAATATCGAAACCCGTTTAAAAATCCAATTAGATATCCAAATCCGTTTATAAATGGATTAAACAAAGTCCAAAACTGTAATTGAAGTCCATAATACCGAAAAAACTTTAGAATACAAAAAAACAATAGTAAAAATTTCACCAAAAATCTAATAATATGAACAAAAATATAAATTTCTAATCGACCAAGTACAAATCGTATTTAATACATTTCAAAATCCGCTCAAGAAGATAATCTTTGATGCATCCAAAATTGCATGCTATTTCACACGCTTCATACTTCAAAAGCAACAATAAACCAAACCTGTTAAAAAAAGTCGAAGTAGGAATGAAAATTTGTTTCCTAAAACAACAAAATGAAGTTTAATAATCAGCATTGAAATCAAAACTTTAAGTAATCAAAACTGAAAATCTAGTGAACATATTTAATCTTTTATTCCTCATATGAATGTTGTATATTGAAGTGTATGCTTAGGACGGTACATTGAAGTGATTTCTCAAAAACCTGGAGAACACAAAAGGAAATGATTAAATATGTTCACTAGATTTAAGGGGGAAAATAGAAGAAAAATACAACAAAATGGAAAGTTCAAGATTTCAAGGAATCAAAACTGAAAACTTCACCTCAAGCAAGGAGAAGACAACAACAATGCATATCATTCCATGGATGTGTCACCTATGAGAACAAAAAAATTCTATATATTAAATATTTTTTAAAGAATAGTTGTCAAACAAAGAAGAGATAAAACTAAAATTACTTACCTTCTCCTTCAAGTGTTGGCAACCAATCTTTCACACAAAGTAAAGCCTCATCTGTGTTTGAATTAAGTGAAGCACGTGTATCCTCTAAAACCCTACGAGCTCGACTAAAAGTGGACTCCGAAGGCACAGTGGTACATGGAATTGCCAATATATCCCGAGCTATCTTTGAAAGAATTGGGTACCGCACACCATTATGCTTCCACCAATTTAAAACATCAAATGCATTATCTTGCTCAATTACTAATCCCTCCACCAAATACAACTCAATCTCAGTTTTTTTAGGGTTAGAATTGGCACTTGATTGAGCAACAAGTTCTCTAAATCTCCTTAAAAGAGGAAATTCATTTTCATCGATTGATAAGCTTTCAACCCGATGAGAAGAGTCACTTAAAGTATTATCCTCGTAAGAAGATGTTTTATCGTCATACTCAACAAATAATTCTTGCCAAAAAAGATTCACTTTGGATACAAAATTGCTAGATTCACGAAAAGCAGCTTAAACAAGTGTCATCTTATATCTCGGATCAAGAATAGAAGCAACAGTCAAGACCAAACTACACTCACCCCAATATTTATCAAATTTTGATTGCATTAGTGAGGCCATTGTTGAAATCTCTGCATCACTACTATCACACCATGTATTCAAGCACTCTCTTATTTGACAAACAAAAGTGAAATAAAGAGGGACATTAGGATACTTACTCCCGGATAGTGCATCTGTTGCATTTTTAAAAATCTTCAGATGTCAACCAATCTTCGCACCCATTTCCCACTCCTTTTTGAGGGTAAGTGTAACCTGCAGCCAAACGGTTAAATGCTTCTTTGAGATCAAGTGCATTCATAAGCATATCATATGTTGATTTCCATCTTGTGTCACACTCTAAACTTACACGTCTCTTGGAGTTTAGTAGAGTCTGAACCAATGCAAGACCAAATCTTTCCTCTGTGAACTGATCCATTCACATATTTTACACTATCACGTATCTTTTCAACCAATTCCTTAATCACATCCAACCCAATTTTCACAATCAAATTCATAATATGCACTGAAAATCGAATATGAAACAACTCCCCATGATAAACAAGTGCGCCCTTCCCATTCAACCAATTCTTAATGTCATCCAACATGCCAGAATTTTGTGAGGCATTATCCACAACAACAGAAAATAACTTTTGATCAATATTCCATTCAAGAATACGATTTTTCAACCATTCACACAAACAAAAGCCACTATGTGGATATTCAACAACATGAAAAGCAAGCAATTTACTCAGCAATTTCCAATCCGAATCAATGTAATGAAAAGTCACACAAAAATATCCATAGTTTTGATCATCTTTTCAAATAAAAATATGAAACACATCCTTTGCACCCAAATATTCAAACACATCCTTTGAAAATATCCACAGTTTTTTGATCATATTTGCAAAGAGGATCAAAACCGTGGATATTTTTGTGTGATTTGTCATTACATTGATTCTGATTGGAAATTGATGAGTAAATTGCTTGCTTTTCATGTTGTTGAATATCCACATCGTGGCTTGCGTTTGTGTGAATGGTTGAAAAATCGTATTCTTAAATAGAATATTAATCAAAAGTTATTTTCTGTTGTTGTGGATAATGCCTCACAAAATTCTGGCATGTTCGATGGCATTAAGGATTGGTTGAATGGGAAGGGCGCACTTGTTTATCATGGGGAGTTGTTTCATATTCGGTTTTCAGTGCATATTGTGAATTTGATTGTGAAAATTGGGTTTGATGTGATTAAGGAATTGGTTGAAAAGATATGTGATAGTGTAAAATATGTGAATGGATCAGTTCACAGAGGAAAGATTTGGTCTTGCATTGGTTCAGACTCTACTAAACTCCAAGAGACGTGTAAGTTTAGAGTGTGACACAAGATGTAACTCAACATATGATATGCTTATGGATGTACTTGATCTCAAAGAAGCATTTAACCGTTTGGCTGAGTTAGATTCAGGTTACACTTACTTACCCTCAAAAGAGGAGTGGGAAATGGGTGCAAAGATTTGTCGACATATGAAGATTTTTAAAATTGCAACAATGCACTATCCGGGAGTAAGTGTCCTAATGTCCCTCTTTATTTCACTTTTGTTTGTCAAATAAGAGAGTGCTTGAATACATGGAGTGATAGTAGTGATGCAGAGATTTCAACAATGGCCTCACTAATGCAATCAAAATTTGATAAATATTGGGGTGAGTGTAGTTTGGTCTTGACTGTTGCTTCTATTCTTGATCCGAGATATAAGATGACACTTGTTAAAGCTGCTTTTGGTGAATCTAGCAATTTTGTATCCAAAGTGAATCTTTTTTGGCAAGAATTATTTGTTGAGTATGACGATAAAACATCTTCTTACGAGGATAATACTTTAAGTGACTCTTCTCATCGGGTTGAAAGCTTATCAATCAATGAAAATGAATTTCCTCTTTTAAGGAGATTTAGGGAACTTGTTGCTCAATCAAGTGCCAATTCTAACCCTAAAAAAACTGAGATTGAGTTGTATTTGGTGGAAGGATTAGATATTGAGCAAGATAATGCATTTGATGTTTTAAATTGGTGGAAGCATAATGGTGTGCGGTACCCAATTCTTTCAAAGATAGCTCGGGATATATTGGCAATTCCATGTACCACCGTGCCTTCGGAGTCCACTTTTAGTCGAGCTCGTAGGGTTTTAGAGGATACACGTGCTTCACTTAATTCAAACACGGATGAGGCTTTACTTTGTGTGAAAGATTGGTTGCCAACACTTGAAGGAGAAGGTAAGTAATTTTAGTTTTATATCTTCTTTGTTTGACAACTATTCTTTAAAAAATATTTAATATATAGAATTTTTTTGTTCTCATAGGTGACACATCCATGGAATGATATGCATTGTTGTTGTCTTCTCCTTGCTTGAGGTGAAGTTTTCAGTTTTGATTCCTTGAAATCTTGAACTTTCCATTTTGTTGTATTTTTCTTTTATTTTCCCCCTTAAATCTAGTGAACATATTTAATCATTTCCTTTTGTGTTCTCCAGGTTTCTGAGAAATCACTTCAATGTACCTTCCTAAGCATACACTTCAATATACAACATTCATATGAAGAATAAAAGATTAAATATGTTCACTAGATTTTTAGTTTTGATTCCTTAAAGGTTTGATTTCAATGCTGATTATTAAACTTCATTTTGTTGTTTTAGTAAACACAATTTCATTCTTACTTTGTCTTTTTTTAACAGATTTGGTCTATTGTGGGTTTTGAAGTATGGTGTGAAATAGCATGCAATTTTGGATGCATCAAAGATTATCTTCTTGAGCGGATTTTGAAATATATTAAATACGATTTGTACTTGGTCGATTAGAAATTTATATTTTTGTTCGAAGGCGACCTTAACAGACTCAACGAATTGCGTGAAACACGTTTCAAATTTAATTTATTTCATGGTGTACAAAAATATTTCATGGTGTGTGTGAGTGTGTCTATATATATATATATATATATATATATATATTCTAAATAATATAAGACTCTACAGGGGTTAACTTCGTCGTTTTTCCGTTTATTTTCTAACGCTTCTACTATTCATCGTTTCTTTCTTCTTCTACTTACGCTTCTACTATTCATATCCTTCTTCTCTCTGTGCTTACCACGAACCATGAATCCCATTGGCCATTCTCGCTGCCCACCGCCCCACGATCTAAGCTTCTTCACAGCGGAGTATTATATTTTTATCCTCCTACAGTCTCTTTCTGCCTCTGCTTACTCTTCTTTAATTTCAATTCTTCCTACTTCAAATTCACATCAATTTCGGTTTGCAAAAATTGGAAATCCCTTGAAATTTCAGCCACTTCCAAAAAAAATGAGGTTTTTTCGGTTTGCAAAGTTTGGATATCCCTTCAAATTCCAGGAATTTACATAAAAAATGAATTTTTTTTCGGTTTGTTACATTCTTGGAATTCCTAGAAACTTCAGCCACTTCCAAAACAAAGACTCCATTTGAATTTTGGGTGCTTAGCTTGTATAATTTAAGATTTCTCTTGCTTAAGATTGGTATATACCGCATGACTCTATGTGTATGTGACTTTTACTTTTGGATTTGTTGGTTGGTGTTTGGTGTTTTTAGTTTTCTAAAATTTGAATTAATTATTCTTTCTATTTCACCTGCTCTTTTATTTACTGCATATTAGAAAAAGTCCTTTGTTGTCCACTTGTTTACTAAAAACAAGTTCTCTATGTGTATGTGATTCATTATTTTAGATTGTTCATTGGTGTATGGTGTTTTTATTTTGGGTAGAACACTTTTTTTAATGGTTAATGTTTTGATTTAAGTTCTTAATGCTTCATACAGGTGACTAAATACAATTCGTGTTTTGTTGATCCTGTTCCACTTGCTTTGTATGCTTATACACTTGTAATTTTTGGTTCTCTTGACCATTTTTTTTAAAAAAAGTATTTGTGTTCTTTTCGATTTCGAACTAAATTGTCTAGGCAGTTGTTTAGTTTCATGCTTGTGGTGTGTACTGCTTCTTTCTCAATCTCCTCATCATCTGTGATTTTTCTCCCATCCTTATCCACAATACATCTAATTTTATTTTTGATCTTCTCCCTTTCACAAAACAGTGGAAAATTTAGAATTAGAGTCCCCTTCCTCCATCCGTTTTTGATTGGCCTTCTGCTTCCAATAGCTGAGGTCATTATCACAGGCCATAATGAGATTGGCTCTTGCTTTATTATCGGCTTCTCTGTTTTCCACATTAGGGTCATTTTCATATACTTCTTGAGCTTTGAGGACCGCTTCCCTAGATTTTTTCAGGTTAGATAATATGTTCCCAAAGGTACCTTTGTTCCAATCCTTAACTTGGATTTTAAGACCATTGATTTTAGAGGCTAATCTAGACATCCCCCCATGATCAAAATTCTTGATCCACAAATCAGAGACCATGGTATGGAAGCTGTGATGATTCACCCATGCATTAATAAATTTGTAAGGTTTAGGACCACCCTTATCAGTTTTCCCATCATAAAAGTACATGTTTGTGGACTGTGGTCAGCTGTGGCCTTACTGAGATGTTTGGAGAAAATATCCTTGTAAACCACCACCCCTCTGAATAAAGAAATGTAACAAAAACTCCAAACCATTGTGTTAGGAATCAGAGATCAGAGGCGGTCAAGCGGAAGCGAACAAACACACACACACAAATAGCAGAAAATAAGAACACGAGATTTAACGTGGTTCGGTCAGTAACCTCCACGGGTTGCAGCTAGGGTTTATCTTTTATTAGGTGCTCACAGATTATAGTTACATGATTGGGTATTTATAAGATATAAACTAGGGTTAACAACTTGCTAAACAAGAAACAACTAATGGGCCCTTTAATTAATAACTAAAACCGGCCCCCCATGTTTCTTCCCTTTAGCCGACCAGGCTTAAAGCCCACAGCTCTAAAGCCTTCACCGAATAACCCAACAATCTCCCACTTGAAGGATTTCGCATAGACACAAATGCCATCCAAGTAAACCCATCATGAGTAACTCAGTAATCTTCACTGCCAAGTCCTCCAAGCCTCCAGTTCCCAAGAACAAGCTAAGACTCCAGTTATATCCCCTAGTTGCAACCACCCCCTTCATTAATAACATGAAAG